TTTCTGAGTGCAAAGCCAGAAATAACCCCTGTTCGTTGCCAGGTGTGACCCCCCCCCAAAAAAAAAGCAAAATGTCTATTGGCATCAGCCATCCTCACTAGATCTTTGAGACTCCTCTCAGTATCTTCTTTCTCTCAAAAAGCAGAGACTACTTGCAGAGAAGTAGCTAGATGTAGACAGTGAACTGCTATCATGTTTCTCGATCTGGGGCAATAATTAAAAGACATGATTTTCATAACTCCCTCAGTTAAGACCTTGCCAGCAAGAAGATCTCAGAAACAAACTTCTTTCCATTTCTCTGTGGATAGGACATGCAACAAGGGTTAAATATCAGATACTACCCAACAGACACAGAGGCCAACAGAGGAAGTTCAGTTGTAAAACAGGGTGGCCTAGGAGGGCACCAGAGAAGCAAATGGACTTGAGAAGTTCAAAATTAGGAAGCCAGGGTGGTAGCTCTACTAGCAGAGCACATACCTTGCATGTCAAGGCACAGAGTTGGATCCCTGTCACTGCAAGATCCCTGGAAGCCAGGTACAGAGGTGGTATTAAGGAATGATAGAACCAAATATTCAAACCAGAGAGTCAACCAACTCTGAAATGAAGAGATCCAAACGTTAACAACTGAAATTAGAAAGGTGCCTGTCAAGAAGGCAGGCAGGAGGTCAGGGCAAACAAGGAGTGGGTAGGGATGGGAGGGAAACTGGGAACATTAGTGGAGGGGAGTTGACACTGATGGTGGGATCAATGCTGCAATACTGCATGTCTAAAACTCAAATATAAATAACTTTGTAACTCACTGTGACTGTCACTGTCCTCCCACTGTTCATAGATTTGCTCAAGTGGGCACCAGTAACGTCTCCATTCTGAGACTTCTTGTTACTGTGTTCGGCATATCAAATACGTCACAGGTAGCTTGTCAGGCTTTGCCGTGCAGGCGAGATACTCTCGGTAGCTTGCCAAGCTCTCCAAGAGGGGCGGAGGAATCGAACCCGGATCTGCCGGGTCGGCCACGTGCAAGGCAAACGCCCTGCCTGCTGTGTTACTGCTCCAGCCCAATGAAGACATCAGATTAAAAAGAAAAAAGAAGCCCTTCAATAATTACTTTAGACTATGAGGTAGCATTATCCTTGGTTACCGTCACAAGGAACTTTAGGTTCCAAACAACAGAAGAAAGTAACCTTCGAACTGACAGCAGCCCAAAACAGTGCTTTAATTTTTTTTTTAAGTGTCAATTTCTTCAGCTGTAAAATGGTGATATCAATCCTACAAGATTGATGCAAGAACTGGTTAAAATGTCCTCCTGGGCTTGGGTTTTTTTGTTGTTGGTTTTTTTTTTTGGTGGGGGGGGAGGGTCATTCGTTCATTTGTTTGGGGGCCATACCCCAGTAATACTCAGGGCTTACTCCTGGCTCTGTATTCAAGGATCACTACTGGTAGGCTCAGGGGGCCATATGGGATGCCAAGGATCAAACGTGGGTAGGCCATATGCAAGACAAATGCCCAACCCTCTGTACTACTGCTCTAGCCCCCGTCTCCCTGTTTTTATTAGTTGGTGTTTGAGACCTTAAAAAAAAAAAGAAAAAGCTTGTGACTGGAGCAGGATATACAGTACAGGGATTAAGGTACTTGCCTTGCATGCAGCTTGTCCCAGTCTGATCCTCTGCACTGCATATAATCACCTGAGCACCACCAGGAGTGATCTGGAAGCAAAGAGTCAGGAGTAAACCCTGAGCAAGTCAGAAGTGCCCCCCAAACAAAACTACAAATACACACCAAAAAAAAAAAAACTTATGGTAGGCCAGAGAGACAGTTCAGTGGGATGAATATATGTTTTGCCTGTGGGAGGCCAGAATCAATCTCCAGCACCACGTGGTTCCCCCAAACACTGCTGGGAGTCACACCCAGATACAGAGCCTAGAGTAGCCCCTGAGCACTACCAGCTGAGGCTCAAAAAGTAAACAAAAACAAAAACAAAATTAAACATCAAAGCCACAGGGAGTAACTGAAGATGAGAACTGACCTGGCCAATATACCACACCCTGGTCTACAAACTTCCTTTGGAAACCTAAGGAACTATTAGTCGGAGCTGAACATGGGTCTCATACAACTGGATTCTCATCTCCAAAGAAGAAAACTGGGCAAATAAGAATGTCACGTATAAAGTCTTCACAAGTCAAAAAAATTCCACTTGGTTCTTCACATGTGTCCCAAGCAGCTTGAATATTCACAATACTTTTGCCATAATGACAAAGTCAGTTAAACATGATATCAGGAATCAGGGATAGCCTAAAGTCCTATTTGAAGGTCAATAGGCTATTTTCTCCTTCCCTCCTCAGCAGTGATGAAAGTAAATGAGGAAAAAAACAAGGCAAGATATTCTCTCTTTAGACCACATATAATTAAAATAAGAAGATCTATGTGATCTATGCAGCTTAAGACCGACTCAGAGAAGGATAAAGTATTCATCCTCACTCCAAAAAATAAAAGATTAGCTCCACAAGGACAGGCTTCCAAAATGACACCAAATCCAGGAGTTAGAGATGCCTGTGCTACAGTGCATGATCTAAGTACCAGGAAAGGCCCTTCAGGAAGATGCGCAGGAATACACAACCAAGGGGCTGGCACTGTAAAAATCTTCAGATTAGCTCTCCTGAAAAGAGGCTTACTCCAAGAGGTTGACTGGCAGACAGCCTCTACAGCACAGATTCCCTTAGAAAAGGATAAAAAGAAGAAAAAGACAGGAGCCAAGGATGAGCAGGTCAGAGCACGAATCCACAAGCATAATGAAGAAGGAACCAAGCAGTATCTCCTAGTTTAGAAAAATATACAACTTGCTATTGGAGACTGTCTTCATTTTTTTGGTGGTTGTGTTGTTCTTATATATATTCTCATTGAAGGCAAGTCTTCATTCTTTAAGAACAAAACAGCTATGCATTACATTTCTATGTAAAAGGAGCTACCATGTACATTTTCTCATTTACCCACTCTTCAAAGTTAAGAATTATTGCCCTTTTGAGTCTGGGAGATAGTACAGTGAGTGGGGCATTTGCCTTGCATATAGTTGACCAGGGTCAATTCCCAAAACCCCATATGGTCCCTGGAGCCGCCAGGAGTGATCTTTAATGCAGAACCAGGAGTAAGCCCTGAGTACTGCCCCAAATCCAAAAAACAACAAACAAAAAAATTATTGCCATTTTTATGCAACGGAAAACCAAACCTAAGCAGTGAGATCATTGTCCAAGATTACAGAGGTAATAAAACTCATGCTCACTACACCCCAAGAATCATCATTTTCATTACAAAGACAGCAGGAATGGAAAAAAAACAGGATTCAAGATACTTTTAGGAATGGCGAAATAGTACAGTGGGCAAGACTTGCCTTGAATGTGAGTGATTAGGTTTGTATTACCATCATCCCATATGGTACACTGAGCACTGCCAGGAGTGTTTCCTGAGTTCAGAATCAGTAATAAGTCCTGAGCACGGCTGGGTATTTTGTGAATACCCAAACAAAATACTTTCAACCCTGGGATACCACACCCTTACTATTCATGTAATCCTCATTCCCAAAAGCTGGAAAGTGGGAGCAACAGGTCTTTTCTAGAGGCAATATAATCATAACAACACATATTTAGCAGATTGAAGTCAGTAAATATCACTCAACCCCCTCAATAGATGCCCCCAAAAAAAACCTCAAACTCTAATAAAACTAGTGTAATGACAAATTCTTTTACACCTAATGACCATATACTCAACCAATAACCACAGAGCAAGGCCTGGTGCGCACTGTACAAACGTCAATTCCAATATTCTCATGCACCGGCCTCCATCAAAATCTACCCAATCCTGGGGGACTCTGGTAGAGGGAAGTGGACACTGGTAAAGGAATTGGTGTTGGAACAAAGTAGGTAGGCCTGAAACTCAATCATAACTTTGTAATTCAAGATGATTCAATAAAAATCAAAGGAAAACAATCTACCCAATTCCTAAATGTGACTACACCTTTATCAGAAAATGAAAAAGGAAATAGCATTTTTTCCTTTTAGCGGGAAGAAAGCTAAAAAAAAAACAAATACAGAACATCTTTCAGTCAAAAACAAACATTTTTACAATCACATCTATTTTTCTCTTAGCAAATATGGAGGATTTGTCTTCCTCCTGCCTACCTTAGACTGGGTTAATCAAGCCCTCTCAATCTCTCAGTATAACTTTAAGTTTTATTTTACTGAGGTGCGAAAAACAACTGGCCTTGAATCTAGCCAGGCAACTTAAAATTATTTATCAGAAAACTGATGTGACATATAGGTCATCAATATTCTTGTAAAGGCCTCCAAGGGCCGTCTAGCTCCTAACGGTGCAGAGAAAGCCGACATTCGGCGCTCGGCACTTTTTTACTCCTGTTTTTCCTCCCCTGAAGCCCATATATCATTTCATTCTCGTCTATAAAGAACCTACAGGCGAAGATTTCAGGATCATCCTTAATTAGAACCAGCAGGGGAGAAGTGCAGGCGCCCGTGCCTTGATCTGAGCTCCCTGGGGACGTACACAACCTGCCGAGATCGAGACACACCAACGCCTGTAACCTTTACTTAAGGTCAGTCATCCGTCTACCAGGGCCAAGGAAACCAGGAGACAGAAGTGCCAAGTGCCACGAGGTTAGGATGCGATTCCATATGTTGGGAGAAGAAAACACGAGAGGTCTCGGGCCCGAAGCAAAATATGAGCACGGGAGAAGTTGGACAGCTGCTGCAGGGCCCGAGAGAAGGAAACGAACACGCCACACGCGGAGACAAAAGTCTGTCAGACGCCGCGGCCTCGTCTCCGGACTCCTGAGAGAGGTTCCTGGGAACGTTTGGAGTGGGAGAGAAGGGACAGCGTCCCTCGGGCTCAAGAGGCCAAAGTTGCCCTGAATGTGGGTAGGGGGGTGTGAGGGAAGCCGCCGGAGCCGCTGACGTGAAGAACAACCCCTAGCCCAGCTGCAGTCTCACCGCCCCTACCTTCGGCTTGCCCCAGACAGCCGAGGGACAGATACAACTCCCACAATTCCAGGGGGGCGCAGCGGAAACCAACTCCCCCTGCGCAGACGCGGCGGCGACCGTCGGAGCCGGAGAACGCGGCTATTGCGTCACCGGGCGCCGGGTCCAATGACGGCCGGCCAGGAAAGCGGGCGGCCGCTTCGCTCTCCGCCCGGCCTCCAGAGCAGTTAGCCACGCCCCTTCCTGTTTGGCCCCGCCCACAGCGCCAACCTCCTGGATCGAAGCTGCGTTTACCGATCCCCTCTGTATCCCTCCACCACGTTCATTTCCCTGTCCCCTCTTTCTGTATCCCTCCACCGCGGTGAGCCGACAACAAGAGACTTCCTCGGGCCCGGGTTTTGGTTTCAATCTAGGTTCACAGAAAACCCCCAGGATTTTTCCCTCCCTTTTTTCCAGTAACCGAAGAAATCAGAGAGGTCGGGAAGTAAAAATAAGCTGTTGTGACTTCGTTGAGTCAAGCAATAAATAGTCCTTTGAGAGTTCATGCTAAATAGGCCACGTGTCAACTTTATATATCCTGAAAATTGTGCAGATTCTTGGGTCCAGGGGATGCTGGCAGTGCCAAGGGGCCATGCGATCCCAGGGATCAAATCCAACCTTATTCATGTGACCCTGTCCACTGAGCTATCTCCACACCCCTCAAATGTGTATTTTTGACAACGAAGTAATTATTTAAAATGAATTAAAAGGTCACCTGAAAATGTTAATTCTGCTCTACCACCAAATATGTTATTTGGTATGCATCAGGTGCTGCATGTGATTGTATCCCATAACTAGTATGAGTACTGACCCCATCCTTTTCTGGGTTTTGTTTGTTTTTAAAGGTAAGGTAAAGGCCCTCCTGTTGATCGTCGATTTGCTCGAGCGGGCCCAGTAACGTCTCCATTGGAGACTTTGTTGTTACTGTGTCTGGCATATCGAATACTCTCGGTAGCTTGCCGGGCTCTCCAAGAGGGGCGGAGGAATCGAACTCAGGTCGGCCATGTTGGCCGCTTGTAAGGCGAACGCCCTACCGCTGTGCTATCGCTCCGATAGCACAGCGGTAGGGCGTTTGCCTTGCACGCAGCCAACATGGCCGACCCGAGTTCGATTCCTCCGCCCCTCTCGGAGAGCCTGGCAAGCTACCGAGAGTATCTCGCCCGCACGGCAGAGCCTGGCAAGCTCCCCGTGACGTATTCAATATGCCAAACACAGTAACAACAAAGTCTCCAATGGAGATGTTACTGGGCCCGCTTGAGCTTGAGTTTGTTTTTAGAGAGGGTGCACATCCGGCTGTGCTTAAGGCCTACTTCTGGCGGTGCCATATGAAGCACCAGAGATTGAGTCAAGGCAAGTACCCTACTTCCTGTGCAATCTCCCAGACCCCTGTCCCACCCTTTTAACAGAAGGGGAAATTGAAGCTTAAAGAACTTATTCCAGGTCATATAATCAAAACGTGGGAACTGAAGCCAGTTGTAGATGTGTCCGGTAGACCTGCTCTTTCCACTTCCCCATTCTGTCAGACCTTTCCCTTGCCTAGAGATGCTTAAACTGACATAAACTGTGGAGTGTCTTTGTTCTGCAAGAGCCCAGACACAGTGACTCCTAGTCATTCAGACCCTCCTCTACATGGCAGGGATCCCTAGAGTAAACAACCAACCAGTTTATGTAGTTCCCTTCCATTTCCCTGTGTCACCTAAGCTAGCAGTTTATTATCTTTGTGATTTCTGTTTACTTCACGCAGATAAAAAATTAACATGTAAATACTTAGCAAACCTTGGTAGATCTGGAAATGGAGAACAAGTTACTGGGCAGTAATTGTGTGCGTACTTGGGGTAGAGGGAGGCACACCCAGCGTTACTCAGGTATTATTTTTGATTTTGTGTTCAGTGATCACTCCTGGGGGACTCCAGAAACCGTATGAGGTGGCAGTGATCAAACAGTACTATTGCTCCACCCCTTTGAGTGAATACTTCAGGTTTGTGGGGAAGATCTACATTCTTCCCAGAAGTGGGTAGGAGAAGGTAGGGGACCACATCACCATAGAAGATTCAGAAGACCAGTGAGTGTAGCTGGCCTAGGAAATAATTCTAGCTTATGTGACCATGTCATAGCATGAGGACATATACTAAATGTTCCACTAATACCTATTGCAGGGGTTGATATCAAGGATATACAAAATACTGGTTGAACTCCACAAGAAGAAAACATCCAACCCCATGAAAAAAAATGGGGCGACAAAATGAACAGAAACTTTCTCAAAGAAGAAATCTGAATGGCTAAAAGACACATGAGAAAATGCTCTACATCATTAATCATCAGGGAGATGCACTTCAAAACAACAATGAGATATCATTTCACACCACAGAGACTGGCCCACATCCAAAAGAACAAAAACAACCGGTGCTGGCGTGGATGTGGCAAGAAAGGGACCCTCCTTCACTGCTGGGGGGAATGCCGACTGGTTCAGCCCTTTTGGAAAACAGTATGGATGATTCTCAAAAAATTAGAAATCAAGCTCCCATTTGACCCAGCAATACCACTCCTGGGAATATATCTCAGAGATGCAAAAAAAGTATAGTCCTGAGTGCCCAAGAACAGATGACTGGTTAAAGAAACTTTGGTACATCTACACAATGGAGTACTGTGTAGCTATTAGAAAAGATGAAGTCATGAAATTTACATACAAGTGGTACTACATGGAAAGTATCATGCTAAGCGAAATGAGTCAGAAAGAGAGGGATAGACATAGAAAGATTGCATTCATCTGGGGAACATAAAGTAACAAAATAGGAGACTAACACCCAAGAGTGGACAAGATTAGTACCAGGAGGTTTGTTCCATGGCTTTGGAGGCCAGCCACACACTCTAGTGGAAAAGGGAGCTCAGATAGAGAAAGGAGCACCAAATAAAGGGTGTTGGGAGGATCTTCCCAGGATGGGAGAAGCATGCTGAAAGTAGACTATAGACCAAACATGATTGCCACTCTATGCCTCTTTTGCAAATCACAACACCCAAAAGGAGAGAGAGAACAAAAGGGAATACCCTGCCACAGAGGCAGGGCGGGATGGGGGGTGGAAGGGGTACTGGGACCCGTGATGGTGGAAAATGGGCATGGGTGGAGGAATGGGTGTTTGATCATTGTACAACTGAAACCCAAGCACAAAAATTTGTAAATCTACAACTGTACCTTATGGTGTTTCACTAACAAAAAAATTTTTTAACAATGTAAATGATGGGGGCTGGAGCAATAGCACAGCGGGTAGGGCGTTTGCCTTGCACACAGTCAACCTGGGTTCAATTCCCAGTATCCCATATGGTCCCTTGAGCACCGCCAGGGGTGATTCCTGAGTGCAGAGCCAGGAGTAACCCCTGTGCATCGCCAGGTGTAACCCAAAAAAGCAAAAAATATAAATGATGGAGAATGGGCACTGGTGGAGGGATGGGTACTGGACCATTGTATAACTGAAACCCAAGCACAAAAATTTGTAAGTCTACAACTGTACTTCATGGTGTTTAGCCAATAAAAATTTTTAAAAAATACCTATTGCATCAATTATATGTTACAGAATGAACATATTAATTACAATTGTGTCTGACATAAGTTATAAAAAGGATAAGATGCTACAAGAGTAAGATGCTTTAAAAATAGAATAAATCTGAGGCCAGATCAATAGTACAGCGGGTAAGGTGCTTGCCTTGCACATGGTCAACCTGAGTTCAATCTCTGGCATCCCATATGGTTCCCTAAGACCACCAGAAGTAAATCCTGAGCGCAGAGCCAGGAGTAACCCCTGAGCATGGCTAGATGAGGTCAAAATATAAATAAATAAATAAATAAATAAATAAAATTCAAGTAAATAGAATAATTTCAAGTCCTCGACTGAAAAATAAATTCCTAGACCAAGAATCCAGCTGGTTACATAGCTGTCAGCACACACACAAACCACGGTTTTTTCTAGAGACATACCTAACCAGCTAAGGTGTGTGGAAAAGGGATATTTCTGTCTGCCTTCACCCCAGAGCCCAAACTTAGAAAAGTCCTTACTGAGAACTATCTTCCCAGGGAAACTTGCTCAGCTTGCCTAAGCTTGCTGAGCTGCTACGACTCAGTAGGTTGGACCAGGGCTAAGCAAACAGCCCTACTCTCGTGGAGTCCTTTTTAGGAGGGAAGTTTGCAGTCCAGGGATCAGAGAGGGCAGTGGTATCAATGCATAGTGTTTTCTTTTGATTCTATGTATTATGCTTACAATTCAACAGAAATTAGGGTCAGATAATATAGCAGGTAGAGAACTTGCCTTGCACACCAAGTTTCACAATCACGACCATCCTGTTATTCGTTGATTGCCTCGAGCAGGCCCCAGTAACGTCTCCTTCGTCCTAGCCCTGAGATTTTGTTTTTTAAAAAAAAGTGCCGTATTCAAGGCTCTTTCAGAGTTAGGAGAATGAGACCCATCATTGTTACTGGTATTTGGCATTTGGGTACGCCACGGGGAGTTTGCCAGACTCTGCCGTGTGGGCAGGATACATTCGGTAGCCTGCCGGTTTGTCCAAAGTAGGAATGAGATAATAAGATGTCACGCGGCCGCATTTCCGGGAGCTGGGTTTTATAGTCTCTGAGTCTTGGCCGTTGATGGGATCACACAGTGCCAGGGGGCCAGTTGGTGGGTGTGACCCCCACCTACTGGAATTTGGAGGATCTGGGTGGAGGATGCTCAGCCCCGATCCGAGTAGGCTTGGAGATCTCAGCCCCGGGACCCACATGCCTTTGTTCCTCTGCCGGTACCTTCATGTGTGTGGAGAGTGGTCTCAGCATGGTGATGGCTGATTCTAGAGGTCTTTGGCTGCCGGAGCCCTGGTCGGGGCGGGGAGGGAAACTCAACCCGCTCCCCTCCAAGGGGCCCCAGCGAAGACAGCCAGGCGCAGGGGCAGGAGACTCTTCCAAGCTTATCCAGGTTTAATTGAGTTTGATCCCTGGCATCCCACTTAATGCCTGAGAACTTCAAGGAGTAATTCCTGAATGTAAAGCCAGG